ATTATATATATATATATATTATATATATATATATTATATATATATATATAATATATATAAATGTAAATACATATATATATGTATGCATATATATATATATATATATATATATATATATATATATATATATATATATATGTATATGTTTATATATGTATGTGTGTGCTTTTGTATGTATGATTATCTAGACATAGATAGACTATATAAATATTTACCTAATATCCCACTTGACAGGTATCAGTATTTTCCCTTTGATTCTTAATGTAAGATAAGAAAATATCTTAGTGTAATTAATATGCAGCATTATTCCTTACTTTTTTTTTTTCTTTTTTTTCTTTTTTTCTTTTTTTTTCTTCTGTTTCATACCTCCATTACTAGTCACCACTGTCTTGTCTTCACTAAAATAATTGGTTGCATGAATCCTCTACATCTCTGAAACACTTAAGCTTAAAATCGAAGTAAAATATGTTTGTTGCACTACCTCTGAGTTAAAGATGCCAGTGTTTGTCAAGAACCACGCCAGCCACCGCTGTTTCGTCTCCAGCTGTTACTGTACCCACACCTTCTTCCCTGCAAGACTTATGTGTTTATCTTGCATGTGTTCCTCCACACCCTCTGGTGTTTCTTCTTGTTTATCAGTTTCCATCACTTTGTCTGCAGTAGCACTCTTTGTTTCTGTTTTACCCAGTGATCTGTCAAAGCTACTTTCATGTTGCAATGGATATCACATTATGTTATACAATGGAATATCAATAGGCAAACTGTCAACACATGTAGGTCAGTGTTTTGTAGATACTATTAAACCTGTATAAGTTTTCCATTTCATTATGTGCATATATCCCAAATATTTTGTGATTTTATTTAGATTCCCATTGTACATTATAGCTAAGTAGAGGAAAGTTTACACATAAGGAAGCATCACCATGACCAGTTTCTGGTTTCAGGCATAAAGAGGACATTATTTTTGTTCTTTGTTATTTTGATGCTGTCAACTCATTTTTCATTTTCTTTACAGCCAAAACTGTAGAAGCTGACATAGATAAGGGTGAAGAAAATGATGAAAATCAACAGCCATCGTGGTGGCAAAAAAAGAAGAAGGGTTTTGATCGGTAAGTCAAAGGAAGTTTAAAAGTATAGGACTTGTTGCCTTTATTAATGTTTTTTTTCCTTTTTATTTCATTTTATTTTATATATACTCTTCTTTAATGATTAAATGTTGGTCAGAAAAAGTTTATTTAGTTGATATGAAACATAAAGCATCCACGTAACAAGCATCCCATGTCTATATGGCAGATCACCTAATTTATTGGCCATTTACTATAATAGTTTGCATTTAGAAGTAGGTGGAATGGTAGTTTATTCATTTATTTATTCATTTTACTTTTAGCTAACACATTTAATTTCATTTAGTTTTTTAGTTTTTTGTTTATTTATTCTTTTGGTTCTGTAATCCAAACACATGTAGGGAAGTCTCCTTGTAGCCAGGTATCTATACTGATACATAGTAGATATACTGGTGTATATATACTAAAATGTTTTATGAAGTTAATGAGGCTTCCCAACATTAGGTTTTTTATCAAGCATTTCCTTTTTTTTTTTTAGTACTTTAGCATCAGACAGTAACAAAGTATTTTGTGTTAGATATTAAAAAATAACAATATTCAAAATTTTCATTTAGATATTAGACATTAACACATTATTTCTGTCTCTTTCCTGCACTAGCTTCGTGAAAGGGATGGTAGGGTGTGTATCCCGGGTAGCGGTAAATAATGTTGCTCCCTAGCCCAACCTACCCTAGCATGGTGATCCTGTTTGGCTACAGTACTAATAACTCATAAGAATTTCTACCTTGTAGAAGACATGTAAATAGCACTTCAGAAAAAAACGTGAATCTGCAGTTATAGCAAATTTCACTGAATTCCATAAAGCACAAAGCTGTGTACTTCTATGTTACAGTGAGTGACATAGTTCATTATTTTATCAGATATGAACTCACCAAGCATTGTCTTTTCATTTAAAGAGTGCAAAATTTGGATATGGAGGGTATATATATTAAACCAAACTCTTTAATATACATATATGTTTATACACACATACAGGAATGCATGTACATTAACACATTTAGCCTGACATAGATATAGGAATAGTTGCACATAGCAATACACATTCTTTTGAATTGGCAATCATACTAACGTGTTGTGCCCCAGATTGATGTTACTCTTTTGTAGTTGTTTTATATTTACTTGTAATTTTTTTGCTGATCATATGTGTATGGTTTAGAGTGTCTCTAATGGTGAGCATGGTCAGCCAGTAGGTCAGTACTTTTTATTATAATTCCATTCAGACAAACATGACTCTGGTTCTTCAAAACAAATCTAATTATTACTGTTTCTTTACAGTTATTTTTCTCATATTAATTACCTAATCTTACTTTTGCATTCCTCACACATTTCTCCAGTTGCTCTGACTTAAAACCTCTCTCCAGGTCTGGTTTGCCTTCCGTAACTGTCACTCATATGATATTAATAATCTTTTAATCTTAATGTGGCTGTCCTCAAGCATCTTCTGTAACTACCCATCAGTTGCTATTTCTCACTTTCTCTATTATACATCCATTAGTTATTCTTCCCTAACTACATTCACATTTTGAAACCATTCCTGTAATGAATAACAGAAAATGATGCTATACACAATTAACACATTTTGTGTACAGTGATTTTTCTGCCAACTGTCATTTTTATAAGCTTCTGTTTGGAATACCATATTTTTTCTGAATTTTTTTCATGTACATATACCTGCACTAGTAATCCTGCAAAGAATATGTGTATCTTAACTTATGATAATGCACTCACATGTTTCTGAATGAGGTGCTTTCATTTCTTCTTTTCGTAATCTAACTTTCTCCCCAGCAGATCATTGGCTCTCCAACTGATAAAGCTACCTGTGATTCTACTTACAAAAACTCTGTGGATTTTGCATGCTTATAATTGTGTGGGTGACTGTGTGAAAGTGTACTTGCATGTGTAACTGTCTGGATTCGGAAATATGTTTACAAAATGAAAAAAGGGAGCAAGAAAGAGAAGTAGAGAATGAAAGAGGAGTTGTGGTCTGTTTGTACTCAAAAAAATTGGTGGATAAATGTCCACAGTTTACAAAGTAGCACTTTTATTTGTGATGGGTAACACTACTCTTTGTTTCCACAGTGTTAATCGGAGATGCAGGCGGGCGTGTCGAAAAGCTGTAAAATCACAAGCATTTTACTGGCTCATCATTGTTCTTGTCTTCCTCAACACTGCAGTCCTGGCCAGTGAGCACTATCGGCAACCTGACTGGCTTAGCAAGTTCCAAGGTGCATTTACAGTCATATTCTATATATTGCTCATATTTGTTATTTGTTTAGATCAATTTGCTGTTCTGGTAATAGTAAATTGTAACAGATATTTTATGAGGACTTCTGTCAATTCATGTTTCACTGATGTGCTTTTTGTTAACATGAATCAAATTTTAATTTGCTTGGTAGCTATATGACATCCTGCTGGCACCTTATAAACATCTGACATCTCATTGTTAACCATGAACCTTTATTTCAGATTATACCAATCTTTTCTTCGTGGTGCTGTTTACATGTGAAATGTTGTTAAAGATGTACAGTTTAGGCTTCCAAGTAAGTTTATCTGCCAAATATGTTTTTTTTACAAAGATATAAAAAGGCAGGAAGGTTACATGCATGCATTCTTGCTCCCATGTGTGTGTTTGTTTGTTTGTTTGTGTTTGTGTGTGTGTGTGTGTGTGTGTGTGTGTGTGTGTGTGTGTGTGTGTGTGTGTGTGTGTGTGTGTGTGTGTGTGTGTGTGTGCAAGTGCACGCGTGCGTCTGTGCATACATGAAAAGAGAGAATCATTGATTGACTGGTAATTTATGGTATAATCTTATCTGTATTTAATGAATTATCTGTAGTGTATATTAGATAAAATCACTAATCAGTTATTTGACATTCATGTTACCAGTATAAGACATTTGAGTTAACTATAATTTATTTGCTTCTAAAACAATATCTCTCTCTAAACAAATTATTATATCCGCAGGGCTACTTTGTGTCTTTGTTCAATCGTTTTGATTGTTTTGTGGTGATCAGCAGCATCACCGAGGTGGTTCTCACATCCACTGAGCTTATGCCTCCACTGGGTGTCTCGGTGCTCAGATGTGTCCGTCTTCTCAGAGTATTCAAAGTGACAAA